TCCATGTTGGTCAGGCTATTCTCAAACTCCCTACCTCTGGTGATCTGCCCGCATCAGCCTCCAAAAGTGCTGGGATTACAGGCGTGAGTCATCGCGCAAGGCCAGAACTGGATATTTTTAAAGTTAGCCAGAAGGTTTTGTTTTGCTTTTTGAAACAGAGTCTCGCTCTGTCACCTGGGCTAGAGTGTAGTGGCAGGATCTTGGCTCACTGTAACCTTTCCCTCCCAGGCTCAAGCGATTCTCCGATTCTCTTTCCTCAGCCTTTCTAGTATCTGGGATTTCAGGCGAGTACCATCATGCCCTGCTAATTTTTGTATTTTTAGTAGAGACAGAGTTTCATCATGTTGGCCAGACTGGTCTCGAATCCCTGACCTGAAGTGATCCACTAGCCGTAGCCTCCCAAAGTGCTGAGATTAGCCTTAGCCTCCCAAAGTGCTGGATTAATTAATATTTGGGACAGGCTCTGGCTTTATCGCCCAGGCTCACGCCTGTCCCAAATATTAATCAATTAAATTAAAAGTATTATGTAATAACACCAATTTTTCTTTCCCCACTTCACTGTTCCACTTTATACCCAACTCTGAGAAAAGGCAAGAGAGTGACTCACAACTGAATAAGTCACTGCCCTCGGGCTGAATAGGGATTCCAAGTGGAAGCTGACCTCAGATGCCAAGATTTACAGAATGTAAACGTCTCATAGATAGGAGTTTAAAAATTCTCAACCTCATCTGTATAATTTAAACAAATTTTTAAAGTTACTAGATTACATACAAAGAAGTCAACATGTCACGACTAGTAGTATGAACTCACCTACTCATCTGAACCCAAAGTCCCCCGCTCCTTTTTTTCTTTTGAGACAGGGTCTCACTCTGTTGACCAGGCTGGGGTGCAGTGGCATGATCTCGGCTCACTGCAGCCTGGACCTCCTGGGCTCAAGTGATCCTCCTACATCGGCCTCCAGAGTAGCTAGGATTACAGGTGTCCACCATCATGGCCCATTAACTTTTTTTTTTCTTTTTTCGGTCAGAGACGTGAGTCTCATTATGCTGCCCAGGCTGGTGTCGGGCTCCTGGACTCAGGCAATCCCCTTGTCTTAGTCTCCTACAGTGCCGGGATAACAGGCATGAGCCACTGCGCCCAGCCCCTCTGTCTTCATTACTGTGCTTCCCTCCCTAATTCTGTACATATCTCGCATTCTCCTCTTCTCTCTCCAGCTCTTGTTTTCTTTTTCCCTGGAATTCTGTTCCTCATTTTGTACCCCTCTCCTCTCCTGCTGTTTATCCCCTTCTTCCCTTTATTCCTTCTCTTCCACCTCTTCTGCTCCATCCTCACAACTTATTTAACCTCTTATTGCTCCTTCTTCATAGATCTTTTAATCTTTCGATTGTCCTCAGTCTCCATAGATTTCTCCCTCTTCTCCCATCTCTGCGCCTCCTCTGCTCTCCCTGTTAAATTCTCTCTTCCCTGTTATATCCCCCGTCCCCACTCTATGGCACTCTAGACCCACAATAATCCTCCCTGCTGTGGTTCTCCCTCTGTTCTCCTTGCCATGTCTCTGTACATCTAGCTTTTCTCTACATTTCTGCAGTTACTTTTCTCCTCCTGTTTTCTTTTCTTATCTCAGGTTTTCTACTGCTCTCTGTCTCCTGATCCCTTTGGCCCACACGATTACAGGGGGGTTTGGAGTAAGAGGCCTGCATCCCGGGGAAGCACATTTTCCAGGGGCTGGAGCTGGGCAGGCAAGAACAGCCCGTGTCACAGGACAGGCCCCGGGCACCTCCCCAGCGCGCGCTTAGGAGAAGCGGTGACTGCGGAGGGGAGACCTGGGGAGCAGCAGGACCCGGCACGAGGAGGGAGGTGGGGGGCGACGGCGCCTTAAGACAGTGGCGGGGTCTGCAGAATCTCAGGACCAGGCAGAGGACGCGGCCTCTGAGGGACTGGGGCCAGGGCGCTACACTCGACAAGCCAACGAAGGCGAGGGTGGGAGGCGCCCAGGGCGGGAATCCACCTCACCTGTGAGGACTTTAAAAAGCGCGGGGCGGGAGGAGTTAGAAAAAGGTTTTAAGCAGGAAAACTACGCAATAGAAAGTGTATACATTGCCCTACAGCAGAAAAACCAGACCGCACCAGCCTCAAGGCGACTTTAAACCCAAAAGGAAGCGAACCCCAGACTCTCAATTTGCTCTGCATGAAGGAAGACGGGCGAGAATTTCCAGGTCTGTAGGAAAGGAAGTGAACCCCAGACTCTCAAAGGGACGTCTCAATTTGCTCTGCATGAAGGAAGAAGGGCGAGAATTTCCAGGTCTGTAGGGACCCCACGTCCCAGGTACAGAAGCGCCGGGGACCTGGGAAACACAGACTTAATACAAGACAGAGAGAAACTCACGGGCTGCAGTGGGACCTCCACTCCGCGCTATCCGCTTTCAGGTTTGCGTGAATCTGCGTGCGCAGGACAGAAATAAGGCCTGGGCGGGGTCCACGAGGAGGTGGGCGGGGCCTGGGCAGGGCGAAGCGCCGCGCCACGGGGAGAGACTTTGCCCTTTAGAACCGGCAGAGGGCGGGGCCGGGGCGGCACCTGTGAGTCTCAGTCTTGAGCCCAGCGCCTCTGTTTTTCCGATTTTGGAGGCAAGACCGGCCAGGAAGGCTGAGGCTTGATTCAAAAGCCCTGGAATTGTCTGGAATGGGGATGCAAACTAGAATGTGAAATGCAAAGCCTTGCCTGGGCGGAATGTAGGATTTCATGCTGCCGGCCCACAGAACAGAATAGAAATCCTCTCCCTTTCTATTCGCCATTCACTCTGGGGGGTGGGAGTGCGGGTGGGGGAAGGGTCTACCCTGTGCTTAGCTTCAGAGACTTCCCTAGGGCCACACCTGGGATGCGAAACGGAGTGCTCAATCCAGGGAAGAGTGAGGTCACCACCTGCTGCTTAAACACAGCAGGGATGCGGGCGCTGGGGAGGAAGCCTGAGGTCGCAGCTACTCAGGAAGCAGCAGCGGGAGGTTCGCTGAGCCTGGGGTTCCAGACCAGCATGGGCGACAAAGTAATAGTCCCTCCCGCAGTGCTCCCTTCCTCATTCTCTAAATTTTTAAAATAAAATTTTGATTCTGTAGGGATCCAACATTATTCTTTTCCATGTGAATATCCAGTTAGTCGTCCCAGCACATTTGTGGAGGAGATCTAATACTTTCTTTTTTTTAATTTTCTTTTTTTTTTTTTTTTTTTTTAAGACAGTATTTCTCTGTCTCCCAGGCTGGAGTGCAGTGGCAAGGTCTCAGCTCAGTGCAGCCTGTACACCCTGTGTTGAAGTGATTCTCCTGCCTCAGTCTTCGGAGTAGCTGGCATTACAAGCGCGCCACCATGTCCAACCAATTTTTGTATATTTGGTAGAGACGGGGTTTCACCATGTTGGCCAGGCCGGTCTCAAACTCCTCACTTGAAGTGATCCACCTGCCTCGGCCTCCCAGAGTGTTGTGATTACAATCGTGAGCCACCACGCCTGGCCCAAGAAATACTCTTTACTTCACCATTTAAATGTTGAGACAATATAATTGAAAACAAAATGATCTTCCCCCGAATGAGAAATCATCTACACGAAGATAACAGAATAAGAAATAAAAATGATTTCATTAATAAATAAGCCTTAGACCAGAATGTGATGGCAAATAGAGGAAAAGAGCTAAGAGGTTGAAAACAGAGAAAGACACTTCACTGTTCTATACAACCCATTAAGTACATGTTTTCAAGATAAACACTAATCAGTCCTCAGGGACTGATTAAGTACATGTTTTCAAGATAAACACTAATTAGTCCTCAGGGAAGAGGACTTGACAACACCCTTGATCGCACATGGCTCTACTTGGTAACGGAGGTGACCATCTGTGTCAGCTAACTAGCGTCATCCTGAGGGAGGGGGAGAAACCCTAACCCATAACTTTTGGCAAGTGTGAGCTTTACAACAGGGCAGCAGGTGCCCTCTCTGGTGAGGCTCCTACAATCCGACAGAAACTGATGTCAGCAGTAAATAAAATTTAGAGTATATGATTAAGTACAGAATTTACTTGAAGGCAAAGCTTGGAAATAGCCACCTGGAAACATCAACTCTAAATGAATTGGATCAGCATTCCAAAGTAGAGATATTAAGGTTTCACACACATAGGGAAAGACAGAGAATCTTTAGCAGAATCACCACATTTTTTTATTCAAGACCAGTGCATAGGGTGCAGCCACTTGCTTGGTTGTGGATTGATACACTTTAAGGAAGGTCAAAGTGTACCTTATCATTACAAAAGAAGGGACAATGATCCGAGGAGGTCTTAGCTCTGTGGCTGCTTAGTCTTCCTAATTACTTACAGGAAAAGTCTTAGAAATTGCCCCTGCATAACACTGGACTCAGGTTGCATGACCACATTCCTCTCAAGGCTCAGAATTACCTCAAGGTCCATAGCCTTAAATTGAAGTCATTTGATGTTTGAATTATTTAATTTCCTACTGAGATAAAGGTACTGTCTCCCTTGTTGTTTGCCTTTCAAAAAGAACTCCCAAGTCCTGCAGAAATACATCCCTGGGTCATTAAACTGAAAAAAGGTTTAGTTTCTAAAAGAAAAAAAGAAAAGTTAGCCGGGCATGGTGGCTCATGCCTGTAATCCCAGCTACTCGGGAAGCTAAGGCAGGAGAATCGCTTGAACCCAGGAGATGGAGGTTGTGGATGAGGCGAGATCGCGCCTTGCACTGCAGCCTGGGTAACAGAAAAAAACTGTCTAAAAAAAAAAAAATAACACCTCAGAAGACAGAGAAAATGAATTTACAAATTTTCTAACTGAATATTCTAAGAGATAAAAGGAAATAAAATCTCTTCCCTTACTTTTAAAGGAGGAATTACACTTCTCATTTATTTGCTTGTTTGTTTGAGACAGGGTCTAGCTTTGTCACCTAGGCTGGAGTGTGGTGGCGAGTTCAGAGCTCACTGCAGTCTCCAACTTTCTGGCTCAAGTGATCCTCCCACCTCAGCGCCCCAAGCAACTGGGACCACGGGCGTGGACCACCACACCTGGCAGATTTTTTTTGATTTTAAGTAGAGACGAGGTCTCACTATGTTGCCCAGGCTGATTTCGAACACCTGGGCTCAAGCGATCCTCCTGCCTCGGCTCTTGAACCTGCTGGGATTGCAGGTGTGAGACACCACTCCAGGCCGTGACTTTATTTCCATGAAATATGAAATTATCCTCCACTCCTGTGTGTAATAGGCAGTTTTGCATGTCACCTTTCAGTTTCCATTGTCCACTCAAACAACCCAGGATCTTGCTTAGTTTAATAAGCCATTCTAATTACCAGTCCCCGCTGCAACCAGCGCCCCACTCCACCCCTTTACCAAGATTCCTGCCCCTCTCCCCCACCCTGCCCCAGACGGAGGGGAGCTTGCACCGCCAGCAGGATGCGTGACTCTACCTGCTCAAAAAAGGCGCTTTGCATTAAAACCATTTTCAACTTAAGAGGAAAAACGATTCAGCGATCAGTACAGGTGGCCCACTACAGTAAGTTGTTTTACCTTCGATTGTTTGAAATATTAACACAAAACGGACAGGAAGCATCCCTGTGATATTAGGGGTAATATCACGGCATATCAGAAACAATCCACCAATCAGTAACCCGGGAATCCAGTCCTGCAGGATGGAGGATGGAGAGGATGACAGCAGGAGACATCTGGGGCCCAGCTGGGGAGAAAGACAGCACCCGCCCCCTCCAGACCCTGCACTTCAAAACATCCTTTCCAGACCTCGCCCTCAAGATGATTATCTCTCTCTGGCCCGGGCGTTCCCACTTTCCAGGCCGGCTCCCAGGCAGCCTCCTCATTCTTGCCCCGTCCAGATCCTGTTCAAGGCCCCGCCCCTTCTAACCAGGCACCACCCCTACAGCCGCCTCCACACTCTCATAGCCAGGAGTGGCTGTGATCTATCAGCCTTGGCCTCCCAAAGCGTTGGGATTACAGGCGTCAGCCACCCCACATAGCCCAATCTTCTTAACATAAACACTTTAATGTCAATTAAGGCTTAAACTCAATGTTAAGTCAACTCAATCTCAAGTCAATGCCTAATTGGCTCTAATGTCAATTAAAGCTTTATGATTTTCTATAGTCACTGTATTTGGAACAATTATCTGAAAAATGAATTTTCTGATGTTCTGCAAGGATTGACCTCGGACTGAAGACCTTGCCACCCTTATGACTCCAACTCAAACAATTTTGGAAACTCACTGAGTTAAGAGACAGCTTCAAGAAATCAAAAAACCAATGCATGAAGAAAATGAGAAGGTCAACAAACATACAGAAATTATGAAGAACTACACAGAAGCTCTCAGGCTAAAAATACAGTAACTAAATGGAAAAATTCAATACATGGGTTCAAAATCAGAATTCATAATGTAAATTAAAAATTAGACTGGGGGACTGGCAAGGTGGCTCACACTAGGACTTGGGGAGGCCGAGGTGGGTGGATCACCTGAGGTCAGGAGTTTGGAGAACAACCTGGTTATTATGGCAAAACCCTGTCTCTACTAAAAATACAAAGATTAGCTGGGTGTGGAGGTGGGCTCCTGTAGTTCCAGTTACTCTAGAGGCTGAGGCAGGAGAAGCACTTGAACATGGGAGGCAGAGGTTGCAATGGGCCGAGATCGCTCCACTGTACTCCAGCCTGGGTGACAAAGCAAGACTGTCTCAAAAAAATAAAACAATTTAAAAAATAGGCCAGGCACGATGGCTCACGCCTGAAATCTCTGCACTTTGGGAGGCCAAGGTGGGCAGATCACCTGAGATTGGGAGTTTGAGACCAGCCTGACCAACACAGAGAAACCCCGGCTCTATGAAAAATGTAACAATTAGCCAGGTGTGCTGGTGCACACATGTAGTCTCAGCTACTTGGGAGGCTGAGATAAGAGAATCACTTAAACCCAGGTGACAGAGGCTGGAGGTGAGCCGAGTTTGCACCACTGCACTCCAGCTTGGCAACAGAGCAAAACTTCATCTCAAAAAAAATTTTTTTCAAGTACCAGAAGTCCCAGAAGACAGTGAGAGGAAGAAAGGTATAGAAAAGCCTGTTGGAAGACATTAATGACCAAAAATTTCTAATTTCAGAAGGCAAGAGAAATTATGGCCATCATGGTGAAACACCATCTCTACTAAAAAGTACAAAACTTAGCTGGGAGTGGTGGCGCCTGCCTGTAATCGCAGCTACTCGGGAGGCTGAGGCAGAAAAACTGCTTGAACCCGGGAGGCAGAGGCTGCAGTCAGCCTAGATCATGCCGTTGCACTCCAGCCTGGGTGACAAGAGCAAAACTCAGTCTTAAAAAAAAAAAAAGCGGGCATGTGAAAGAACATTTCTGTTTTATCCTAAAAAAATGCATAATATGAACAAATCACCAGGACAAAAATAAAGAACAAAAGAATACAAAATAGCTCTCAAAATACATGAAAAGAATGCTTTCAGCAAAGTATTAAAATCTATTTTAAATATACATGTCCACGATTAATGACATCTACTCAGACTCTCAAGGAATAGAAAATATAAATAAAAAGGGCTTTCATTTTCACCGAATACAAAAAAGGACATGGTGGTAAGACCACAGTAGTAAGCCTTGCTTGAAAGAGTGAGAAATTTCTCATGTTCTCAGTCAGAGAGGGCACCTTTGCAGCTGGGGGGGGGTGCGGAGGGAATCTTCCCATATCTAAAAGAGGAAATGGCAAGTCCAAAAAGAAGTAATCGGTTTTGCAGGAATTCTCCAGATATCTGCAGTGAAGTCACCACACTCACAGGCAGCCAGTGTGTTATTCTTAGTAACAGTGAAAAACTGTCAAGGAGATTATGTGAAGTCAGGGGCTTGAGACCAGCCTGGCTAACATGGTGAAACCCTATCTCTATGAAAAATACAAAATTAGCCAAGCCTGGTGGCGGACGCCTGTAATCCCAGCTACTTGAGAGGTTGAGGCACGAGAAATCACTTGATCCTGGGAGGTGGAGGTTATAGTGAGCCCAGATTGCTCCAGTGAACTCCAGCCTGGGCAACGGAGGCAGATGGAATTTAAGATGAGAGAGACTGAGAAAAGGCATGCGTGAGTGTGAGCAAACTTGTGAGGTAGGACGCTTCAGAATCACAGAAGACTGGCTACTACAATACCTGCTATTTTATTTTTTTATTTTTATTTTATTTTTTTTTTGAGAAGGAGTCTCGCTGTGTCGCCCAGGGTGGAGTGCAGTGGCCGGATCTCAGCTCACTGCAAGCTCCACCTCCCGGGTTTTTACGCCATTCTCCTGCCTCAGCCTCCCGAGTAGCTGGGACTACAGGCGCCCGCCACCTCGCCCGGCTAGTTTTTTGTATTTTTTAGTAGAGACGGGGTTTCACCGTGTTAGCCAGGATGGTCTCGATCTCCTGACCTCGTGATCTGCCCGTCTCGGCCTCCCAAAGTGCTGGGATTACAGGCTTGAGCCACCGCGCCTGGCAATACCTGCTATTTTAGAGAGGAAGGAGACAGAAGAATCCACTGAGGAATGTCACTTTACCTGAGGAACAGCCATCCCTGGCTCCTTTTCTTTGGCCTTTGTGGTGGCTTCATTACATAGCAAGAGTCTTTGGAAATCAATCCTGTGTGTAAAAAAATATGAGATTTAATTTTTCCTTTTTTTTTTTTTTTTTGAGATGGAGTCTAGCTCTGTCACCAGGATGTGGTTCGGTGGCATGATCTCAGATCACTGTAACCTCTGCCTCCCTGGTTCTAGCGATTCTCCTGCCTCAGCCTCTTAAGTAGCTGGGACTACAGGCATGAGCTGCCAGGCCCAGCTAATTTTTCTATTTTTACTAGAGACGGGGTTTTACCACATTGACCAGGATGGTCTTGATCTCCTGACCTCATGATCTGCCCACCCAGGCCTCCTAAAGACTCGGGATTGATGTGAGCCACCGCACCCAGCCGAGATTTAGTGTTTAGAAATCACTCATTCCTTTCCTGTGGCAAAACACGCACACACAGGGGACACCTCACCCGGGAGAAGTCCTCTGCTGCCCACTGCACCAGAGATTACGCAGAGATAACAATGTCCCACAGGAGGATCTACAAGGGTAATTTTGACTTGTTTTCAGATTCCACTCCCCCCTCCCTGGAAAAGTCCAAACACACGCTGCAGCAGGGCACAGACCTTCAGGGCACAGATCTGGCACTACCCAAACCTCACACAGAGCACAGCCCCCTCACCTCCCTGTGGATCACAGGCTGATCTCAGCTCTCAACATGGAGGAAACTGCCTTGACGTTCAATGCTGGACACAGATGAGAATCACCAGCGCCATTATAAGTATTATTGAGGGTGGGTCCCATCCTATGATAATAGCAATCTCTGATAAAACAGCATAAAACATGTATTTGCAAAATGTCTGAGAACCCTCATGTAAAGTCAGGGTTGAGCTCCACTCAGAGGGCGCCAGCCCAGCACAGCCCCCACCTTCTGGCTCTGCTCTCCCCTTGGTGACTTGTTCTCACCAGAATCCAGTGAACAGCAAAGGAGCAAAAAGAATCACACAGAATAGGCAATATGGACCAGAGGTGGGGGTGAAGGTGGGGTTGCCATGTCAAATGGGGGGTTGGGGAGATCACAAAGGTTTCCATAGAGAAAGTGATGTCAGAACAAAGACTTAGGGAAGAAAGGTTGCTTGTCACTTGCAGCTGCAGGGCCAGAGTACTAGGCAGAGGGACAGCCCAGAAGGCCCTGAGACAGGAGCAACCTCAGTCCCAGAAAAAAGAAAGAGGCCTGTATGGCTTGAGCCGTATGGCTGGAGGCCTGTATGGCTGGAGCAGATGAAGTGAGGAGGACACAGGCAGGAGATGAGGTCAGAGGGGTCCTGGGAGCCCAGATCCCTAAGGATGAGGTCTTGAAACATTTTTCCCCCACACCTCAAAAGAAATTTGGAAATGATGTATTTTCTCACTCCTTTCACGTATACATGTAATTTTCTCTTTACCTTATAAATTACAACACTTACAAATAATGTATTTCCCATATTTAAAATACATGGTGTCGACCTCAGCTAAGCCCCTAGAAGTACATTGTCGCCCTCATCTGAGACGTGTAGGACTGCAAGGGAATGTTTAGGGGTTTAGGAAGTCACTTATGGACATGTGAAGGTGGAGACGCCTGTATGATGTCCCAGGAGAGAGAGAAGAGAACTGGGCACAGGACTGTAGAGCTCAGGGGAGAGGACTGCAAGGGACATGGAGCCATGTAGGTGGGTTAAAGCCATGAGATGAAAAGGTTCAAGGTGATTTGAGTCTAATCACCTGTTTTTCGGAGGACTGGAATCCATTTAAAATTCAAATAACAACTAAGCATCACCCTCTCCTACAGGAAAAGCCACACACTCCATTTTGCCCATCATTTCAGGGTCAGTGTCACTCTGACTGAGCTTTTCTGGTCCTCTCCCTCACCTGTATGTTACAGGCGGGCTCACCGAGGTTCACAGCGGGGGACGTTTCCCCAAGTCATCCTAAGAAGCTCTGAGTTTTGGAAGGAGGAGTCGCTGGTCTTCATGTGATGGCCAGGAAGGGTCCATAGGCTGCGTTGGTCATCCTCCTCTAGAAAATTCCAGGACTGGCCATGTGTGGTGGCTCACTCCTGTAATCCTAGCACTTTGGAAAGCCGAAGCAAGCGGATCGGTTAAGCCGGATCAGTTAAGCTGAGGAGTTTGAGACTAACCTGGGCAACATGGTGAAACCTGTCTCCTGGATAGATGAGAATCGGCCTCCCACAGTGCTGGGATGACAGGCATGAGCCATTGCGCACGGCCTATATGTATATTTTTTAAAAACCAAGAAATAAGGCGGGCATGGTGGCTCAAGCCTGTCATCCCAGCACTGAAGGAGGCCGATGCTCCAGGATCACTTTAGCCCTGCAGTTGGAGCCCGACCTGGACAACAAGGCAAAAGCCTGTCTCTACCAAGAACACAAAAATTATCACGGTGTGGTGGCGCGTGGCTACTCTAGAGGTTGAGGTGGGAGGATCCCTTGAGCCCAGGAGGTTGACGCTGCAGTGAGCTGTGATGCTATCACCGCTCTCCCACCTGTGTAACAGAGTGAGACCCCGATATCCCAAAAAATAAATAAATAAATAAAAAAGGAATCTAAAACCAATTAACGTGAACTTTCCAAAACTAGACTAAAAGGAAAAACCCCATCTTCCCACCCGAAGTTCCCACCCGAAGTAACAAAGGATCAAAGGCTGCTCTCCCTAGCGCCCTCCCCCTTCCACCAGGTATCAGATGGAAAGAGCAAGAGCCCAGGAGTGGCCACAGCCAAGCACTGGCCACCACTTACTCCACGTAGGGCACCCATCTGCTCTGGTCTCAGGCGAATTCACCTCAGTATTTCGTTGGCCAAGGGCCAAATCCTTCATCCAGATATGGGGTAGCCCATAGGGACCTTAAAAACAACAACAACAAAAAAAAAACCCTTTAACCTCTAAAAACTTTGTAAACGGGGCCCTGGAGACGCTCACTCGCGCCCACTCCCACCCTGTGGAGTGCTTTCTTGATTAAATTTCTGCTTTCGCTGCTTCATTCTTTTGTTACTTTGTGTTTTTGTTTGTTTCTTTGTTTTTCAATTATGTTTAATATCCAAGAACCTGGAAACTTCACACTCCAGGCCTGCCTTCCGGGAACAACAGGGAGAGGGTGGAAAAACAGGGTTGCCTCCAGCAGGAGCACGTTTTCCAGGAGTTGGAACTGGGGAGAAGCAGGGCTGGGTACGAGGAGGGAGGTGGGGGGCGATGGCGCCTTCGGACAGGGGTGGGGTCTGCAGGATCTCAGGACCACATAGAGAACGTGGTCTCCCCGGGACTGGGGCTGCAGCGCTGCGCTCCAGGAGCCGATGAGAGCAAGGCTGGAAGGCGCCCAGGGTGAGAGTCCAGCTGGAGGGTGATGGTGAGGACTTGAAACAGCACGAGGCGGGAGGATGGGTCGGAAGGGTTTTGAGAAGGAAAGTTTCGCGACAGGAGGTGTCTGCACGGCCCCACAGAAAGACAGGGACGGGACCAGCCTCAGGGAGACTTTAAAATCAAAAGGAAGTGACTCGTGGACTCTCACCCGGACTTCTCAATTTTCTCTGAGTTGAGAAAGAGGGGGCAGAATTTCCAGGTCTGTGGGGACCCCACGTCCCCGGTATAGCAGCACCAGAGAACTGGGAAGCTCAAACTCCACGGTACAACCTTCAGTCCATGCCATCAGCTTCCGGCTCTGTGCCAATCAGCGCAGGGCAGAAGCCAGACCAGGGATAGAGGTGGGCGGGGCCTGGATCAGGCCAGAAAGTGAGGGGAAGAGGTGGGCGGGGCCTGAGTCAACCAAAATACTAATGGATTCGGTGGATTTCCACAGTACAGTATCAGCACCAAAAATTAGTTGAATTTCCATACATTAACAATAAACACTTTTAAACGAAAATTTAAAAACACTTCCATTTGCTGGGGATCTTAAAAAACACTTCCATTTGCTAGAGATCTTAAAGTGAGAAATACTTAGGAATAAACGTTAAAAACTGAGAATTTTGTACCTTGAAATCTACAAACATTGACCCAAATGATTAAAAACATATATAGAGATACAACTCATATTGATGGTTTGGAAAAATTAATATTGCTAAATTATTACGTAACCCAGTGTGATCCAGATTCAACACAATACTCATAAAAATCCCTATCGGTTTTTGTTAAAGAAACAAAAAGCAGGCTGGGAAAAGTGACTCACGTCTGTTGGCTAGGCTGGTCTCAAACTCATGATCTCAAGTGATCTACCCACCTCGGGCTCCTAAAGTGCTGGGATTACAGGCGTGAGCCAT